ATATCAATAAGATACACCAACCCCGAACCTGTATGTGAATGATATGATCCCTGTTTATAAATTCCAGTTGCATAAGGTCTCTTTTTTAAATTTTTCTCGGTAATAATATATTTATATCTCTATATATATATATATATATATATATATATATATATATATATATATATATATATTACCAAATGGATTAAATGTAAGATATTATATATATATATATATATATGTGTGTGTATGTGTGTGTGTGTGTGTGTATCCAAATGGATTCAATGTAAGATATTATGGATATATATATATATATATATATAAATATATATAATATGTTATATATAAAAGAAATATGTGGTTCCAACGAGAGAAAAGTATGTATATTAAAAAGAAGAGAAGAGAGGTGCCGCAAACGTTTTTGGTTGCAATGTGGATTTATTTAGAAAAAAAATATTATGCTTTGTTTTTACATAATTTTACGACACGTGTTTCTGGTCTCGCGACCGTCTTCAGGTAAAAGTGGAGATTTCTACATATTATTAAAAATAATTAATTTTTCTTCATGTTCAATGTGAAATATTCTCGATATGAGACATTCTCTGTTTGTGTGTTGGTAAAAATGCTAGAAATGAGTCAAGTGAATTCCACAATGAATCTCCAACTACAGGATATCTACCAACCACCCGACGCGGTCAGATGTTGAACAAAATGTGAGGCATCCGAGCCCGTAGGTTTGGTCAAAAATTCCCCGTAGTCTCCGTATAAAACAGGATCGGGTACCCGTTTCCCGAGACGAGATTCTCCCCTTCGAAATAGCCTCTTCTGCAAAGCTGGAGACAAATCTCCAACTGTAGGATATCTACCAACCGTCCCACGCGGTCAGATGTGGCACAAGGCCGGATTTAATGTAGGGTATCCGAGCCCGTAGTCTCGGAAAAAAAAATCCCCGTAGACCTCGTATAAAACTGGGCTGGGTAGCTATTTCCTGAGACGAAGACGCTGCCCTTCGACATAGCCTCTTCTGGGGATCCTCTCTGACCGAAGCGAGAGAACTTAAGCAGCAGGGCTGGTGTTGAATCTTCAATTGCAGACCAACATACAGTATTTACTACTGTATTTATGTGAATGGGGACATACCCATTATCGTCCGTAGGTATGCTACAACATTTTTATAGAAGAGAAACATGCAGCATTCAATAAATGAAATAACTCGCTTGTAGAATATCATCTGTCAAAACTGACAAAGAATATAGCAGCCATTTTCTAGACAAATACGGGACAGTCGACTGTCTATTCCCGTACTATTCACCCAATCAACTGTCACTCAACCAAGGTGAACTGATTAGTACAAAGATGACCAATGAAAGGCGATTATTGTAAAGAGTTTGGTTCATGTTCTTCTCAATTGAAAATCGAATTCATTAGGCCGGGTCAATTTTCTGAGCTTCAAACCATTACGTCATCTTTCGCTGGGATTTAAGAAGAGAAAAACCATACAAAATTTTGATCGGATATTTGAGAGATTTAAAACTGGAAATTTACGTTCATAATACGATATAAAGCAAAAGAGATTAAAAAAATGACTGAGAGAGACGGGTACTTAATAAATGAGAGAGGAGGTGGTTTAGTTAGAGCGGTAGTAGAAAGAGAGAGGGGGTTATAAGAGAGCGAGAGTAGAATGATTAGTAAAAGAGACTAGGGAGAGAGAGGAATTAGTGAGACAGTAGAAAGAAAAGAAGGGTTAATGAGAGAAAGAGAGTGTAGAATGAGATAGACGGGGGTACGTGGGAAAGCCTCGAAAAACTGTATCGGGGGTTTAGTGTGTTTGTGTGTGTGTGTGTGTATGAGAGTGAGAGAGAGAACTGGAGAGACAGGGGTTAATGAGAGAGAGAGAGAGAGATTGTATGTAGAAAGAGAGGGTTAATAAGTAAATAGACAGACTGAGACGGACTTAGTGTGAGAGAGTATAAAGAGAGACAGAGAGAAGGGAAAGAGAGATGTGAGAGACGAGTTAATGTGAGCGACTAAAAC